AGAGCGATTTCAAAATAGTTGATAAATGGCAATTGTTATTACTAATATACGATGTGCTCGGTAATGGCTTATTTATAAGGCTCGGTGCGAATTGGGTCTGTTTCGGCCTGGTAAATCAACGTCTATGATTAGAGCTTAATACATCTTGATAAGACCCCTAAATTTGATAAATCAAAAATACCACTGCCTCGTCTTCTGGCTCTTTCTCACCTGGCAACTCTCGATTAATCCTGCAATTGAGCTGATTAGCCAGCTAATCGAAAGATTTGCTCGGTTCAAGAGGCAATTTCCTTGGCTCCAGGCGATTGACCCGCCTTTCCGCATTTTTAAACGCACTCGAAAAGCGTGCGACCCCACGTTTTAATGTTTCCCTCGTAAATCAATTGGTTGATTAACTTGACAGATTAAAAGATATGCTTAATTCGATTAGCGATTTCCTTCAATTATGGGGGGTAATTTGATAGCTTTTTTGATCGCTGTTATAACTTGCCGTAATATAAGAAAAATCATATCTAATTCCGATGAAAATATCTTAAGATCTATATAAAGAAATTAGGTTTTAACTCTTACCTTAATTGTTAACTTATTAAATCATTATTAAACCCTTTCAGAAACATAAATTTTTGACTCATCAATGGTGGATTTTCCGCGTTTAAAATCGCGTTGGTGTCTTGCCCCATTCGCGCCCTCAAGACTCCTCCGCAAAGTTCAAGACTCCGGCATCTCTTTAACCACATCTGTGTTTACCCATTAGCGTTTTTCGGGCTGGCAGCTTAAAATGTTTACCCGGCTCGCCGACGAAGACGTTTCAGAGGTTTCTGGGGAGAGAGGGAATCTCAGGGAGAGGTATCCAAGGTATACAATCGTCTGTTTTTTTTTTTTTTGGCATTTTTGTTTGCCTTCGAATTATTTCGCTTTTGGCGAATGTTAAATACGCAATGCGTAAGTAAGGTAGTCCAGAGTTATGAGAGGGTGCGGCAGCCATCTGAGAGCTAGATGGCGCCATCATAAATTCATTGAAATTCCCATTTAATGGAGATTAATATGAGCAGCGTCGTCGTCCCCGAGGCGCCTCTTTTCCAATTTCGCCTTTTCGTGCCCAGATCGTCTGCGATTTATTGACTTTGCTAAATGTTTTTGAAAAACTTACGATATTTGCTTAGTTTTCATTTCATTGTTATTTGCCATTTGTCTATGGCCAAGCGGCTAATTAAGAACGTGGGAATGTCTAAGGGCAATCGAGGTCTTTTCGGCTGCTACGTGACATTTTGGGATGAGTGGGGTGATTGGGGATTGATGGGAGATTTTTGTAATCGTGGATTGGGTCGTTAATAAAATGGCAGCCTTAAGCTTGGAGAAAAGTTTATATAACCAAAGATATATTAACCTATTAGACAGAAAATGTTCATATAGTTTTAAATATTAAAAACAAATGTCTCGTATAAAAAAAATTGCTTACTAACTTTAGTGCACTATTCCTTATTTGAATTTGCATCGTGTGAATAATCATTAACCATCTTCCTTAAATAGCTATTTCTTTTCATGATTACCAGTTCAATCCGAAATTTCCACCAGACGGTCTCAAGTTTCGCATTCTATTGCTCCAATCACACCTCTCCAGATTAACCGAACCCTTCTGACGCATTTGAATAAAATTTACAATTGGCAGGCGGACTCGGTTTAAATGATTTACAACCCTCGAGGAGAGAACCTTTGCCCGCTCGAGCTGTCATCTGTCCGGGAACTGTTTTTATTTTTTTCTTTTTTTTTTTTTTTTTGATTACCACAAATCAACCAGACCAAATAAAACGATTAGGGAAGGGTGAAAGAGTGGAGAGAACAATTGGGAAAGAAAGAAGTTTATGGGCAAATCAATCAATTTCAATGCAATTTCAATTAGGCCAAGATAAGCGCTAAGGAGGCAGCCAATCCAATCAAATGGGCCAGTGGTCGCTATCTGGCCAAGTGTGTGTGTGTTCAATAAACAATTTTAATATTTTTTAATTATGAAAACAAGTTGATTATATAAATTAAATCGCTGCCCCGTCAGCGATTAGATTACAACACCTCTTTCGAACTTAAAGTTCTTAACTTTTCGAGTGATGTGACGACCATTTAAGCGTCTTTAAACAAATTTTTATAATTTTTTCCATCTTGGTAAATATCAGGGGAACCTGAAGAGGTGGGGAGGCCCCGACTGACGATAAGGGATTTTGAATTAATTGAAAATTGATTATTAGCGATATATGAGCGGGCAGATAAGAAAGCCCGAAATTGAAGGCAGCTGAGATAAGCGAGCGATTCCTTTATTTCTTTCTCTCCTTCATAATTGAAAATTAATCCATCATAATAGACGTCAGCGCAGAAATTAAAACTGAAGTTTGAAGGGTCTTTCGGGGCCCTAAAGAAATTAACCGAGGAAAGGGAGAAAATAAAATATGAAACGATAAGCGGAGATAGTAAATTATGTGGCGGCAAACAAGACCGAGAAAAGGTAAAGCAAATAGGCTGCAAACGAAAAAATATTTAATACAAATGAATCGATGTGATATGAAGGATATTCTGCTGGGAGCAGAGGAGCCGTCATTATCTGGCAATTGAATGCACTTATGCAAACAATTACGAACTGCCAGGCAAATAGGACTGCCGTGTGTCTGTATCTCAACCCGAGTATCTGATCAAATAAGGAGTACAAATCAAAATGCGATTTTCGTGCGTCCTTCTTATCGGAAAGTGCACGTTTACCTTTCGCTTCCAATCGTCTGGCGCTTCATCGCACTCACTACTATACGGGCACATACATATATATGTTTATACTATACTATATATATGAGGAAGTACTCCCGGCAGAGGTTAAAAAACTTCGATGTCGCAACGGCAGCTAAATGTATCTCAACGGTGTGCAAACAGAACCACACATTCCACTCACCTCACCCAACTCGACTTGGTCGGGTTTTGGTTTTGGCTTGGGTTTTGTGGGTCTGGCCCGGCTTGGAAATTTGTTTGCGCTGTGGCTAATGAGGCAGCCCGATGCAGATACAGAAGCTATATATAAACACCGATATAGATATCGCCTTCCCCGCGCTCAGGTCTCTTTAAGATTGCGTGAATCTTCAGATAAACTTGAGCTTCAATCGTTCTTGACGAGTGTTCAATGTTTTATAAATAAATCCGCAAAATAAAAAGCATTAACTTTAAATTGTGCCAACAAACTCAAACTTAACCCAAAGAACCAAATAGCTTAATACCAATAGTCTTGCTTCCTATTAGTCATAAAATCTTTAAATTCCATTCCCATTATCAACATAATTTATTACGAAAAAAAATTTAATGTTATCAAACCTAAATAAAACCCAATCTTTTCCCCAGCGGAAGCAGAATAGTTGAAGCCATAGGCCTAATCAAAATAATAATTTGCAACCGCTCAGCAAACCATTTCCTTTTAAAACCCCTCACAAAGGATTATCTGGCCCACAATTATCTCATCGACGATTCCCGTAATTCCTACGTTTTATTTATACCAATTAAAAATTAAAAAGAAATATGAGAAAGGGAAAAACAGAATCGAGTTTATCAGTTTTTAATAAGTTTGCTCCGTTGGCGAGCCAATAACAAAAGCAAATCAATTCGCGCACTTAATGAAAAAACACAACTCAATTATAAACTTTATCAGCGGTATTTGGGGCGGAGTTGGGGGCGGGATTTTCCTGGGTCCGCATACATTTAAAAGTTATTTTGTCAATGCTGGAAATCAATTAAAAATTTGTGTCAATAAATTTACTTTATTATCGCCGTATTATTAAATATTTATTTCACTTCGTCCTTGTCGTTTGCGTCTGTGTTTTACAATAAACATTTAAAAAGCCAGATTTCTTGTTTGTTGAATGAATTGAAATTAAAAACTCGAACTTTTATTATGGAGTTTTAAAAAATAATAACTGTTATTGGTAATATTCGTAGTTCTTATTAATGTTGCCACACTTGAGGCTCAAATATTTGTTAATCTTCTAAGAAACCTTTGATGAGTAATCAGAGAAACAAGCATTTTAATTGACCTCCTTTGAAAGTGTGGCAACGATTAGTAATCATTAGGGTCAGGCAATGCTGACCCACCTAAGTTTGCATAAAACATTGCGCAGAAAATAAGAAAAAAACAGAGGAATAAAAGACCTAAAGGTGGGTGGAAAAAATGTAAATAATAAATACCAAAGTGCAGTAATAATTTGCAGGCAGAGACAAACTCGTATAGTGAACTCCTGTGCCCACAACTCTGTCAACATAATGAGCCAACCGAATGGCTGGCACTTTGTAGATGCAATCCAACGAAGTATCTGTGTATCTTTGCCGCTGCTGATATGTAAAAATTATTTATTGATAACGCAATTTAATGCCAATTATTTGCACACCAATATTTGCTCAATTATCAATTGCAATTCAGTTGGGAGTGCTCAGAGTTTTGTGATTAATGAGCAGATGTAACGATGAAGGGTGGTGGTTGGTTACAAATTTTATTTTGTGGTTATTGTTTTAAAATGTTTTGAAACATCTTTTACAATTTGTTTTCCCTTTTTTTATATATATATTTGGACAGAGAACAAGTGTCAAAGTCAACTCAATCAACCATCCCTTCATCCCTTTTTTGCCAAGCTAGCAAGTTGTGTTTACTTAGCTAACTAAGGCTCTGGAAATCTGTTGAAATTTTCTGGCATTATTGTTCACTTATCGGCTGAATTAACACAATAAGAGGGAGAAATGGCAGGTTCGGGAAAGGGATTATCTATCTCTTTCTGCCTTCTTTCACCCTATCTTTCAGTTTTATATGCTGACCGCATCAGCTAAATTGCAGCAACATATGTGACGATTTATTTTGATTGGTGATTTCTATTTCTGATATTTGCCGGCAAATTTAACGCCTGATTAGCCTAATATGCCAGAAAATTCATTAGTGATCAGAAGTAGAAATTTATGGGGTGCAGAAACTGCCATTTGAAAGAAGAGCCTTTTTACTTTCGTTATTTATTATTTATTTTTTGTGGCATTGAGATTACAAAGATAGTAATGTAAAAGTTACCAGATACATTACCATGTAATATCCACATTTGGCCCTCACTGAGCTGTCCCTTTGGTCAAATAGCCATGTGCCACATGGACACGTCTTGTTCTCCATGACTGATGACCAAACTGCCCGAGTGCACCTATGACAGCGATCCTCTATGTCTTCATCTTTGTGCTTAATTTTCTGGCATCCAGTTTCTGGCGACCAAACACAGCAATACCCGAAAATTGATTCTAAGAGACAGGAAATCAGGATTTTCTTTACTTTTTGTTAGCTTAGTTACTTACTATTCTTTTTAAAACCCATGCCCGGAAGCAGGCATTTTTTTAAAGATTCAGGTATTCCGGAGGAATTCATATGCGGATCAAACTTTTGAGCATCAAGTTCGAACTCGCAACTCCAGCCGGTTGTTTCTATCAGGCACTTATCATTAATTCCCGAACAATTTCCACATGCCATTTGTTTATAAAAACTGTAGGTGGTGGTGCTAAAGACGATTATAAGCCAAACATTTTTAATCATTTTGGTACTTTAAAATTTTAAGACAGTATTTAAGTGACTACTAGGATTTAATTTTGTGAAGGTATGAAAAAGATAGTAAACAATTAAATATTTTGTTTAATATTAATATAATTTTTACAATTATATTATTTTAGCACTTGATCGAAGCTGCTCTCAAAATAGAATCAATTTTATAGAATTTATTATTAAAGTGGCATACAAAGCAGATTTTTAAAAACTTCTAGTACGATTGTTAAGCCCCCATAAATCATGTTTAACCCCTAAAATTTTAACTCTAATTGCATATTTACGTAACCATTTCCCAAAATCAAAACGAAATCAGGCAAACAAGGCTAACAGCAAACACAATGCCAGCTAAAACCGAAACCCAATCCAAATCCTCACACCTCCAACCCAAAATCCTCCCGTACTATAAAAGCCCCCAATACCATCACCCAATCTTCGTACGTCTCTGCCATGTTTGTGTTGTTATATAAAATAAACTATTCTGAAATAACACAAATCATACAGAGGCAGCACTGAAACGAGAATGGACCATTGCCAGGTCATGTTCCAAAGTCCCCCCAGCACCACCCATAAATGTTAGTTAAATGCACGTGGATGAGTAGATAAATATCGTATAATGAAAATAAAATAAGAGCCGGATGGAAACTTTGGGGAAAGGGGCGCCAGAAACAACAGCAATCAGTCGTCATTGCAGACATCGCACTAATTTTGAGTTAGTTTTTCGGGAAAGCATTTTCGGCTGGAAGAGTTTGGGTTTTCGGGTTCCATTTTTGTACGTGGTCAAAGAAAATACACTTTGGCACGTTTCTTGTTAGCCAACAGTTTGCCCCAACCCCCCGATTCCTTAACTCTTTTCCTGTCTGGACATCGCATGATATTGTATATATAATGGGACGGTTTTCTTTTTGTTCCTAGCTCCTGGAGTTTTTTACTTTCTTGTCTTTGTGCCAGCTGCTCTGGTCTGTGTTTGCTTTGGCAGTGGTTTTTGATTTAGAATTTAAAAAAGGTACATTTTAAATGTATACTTCATTTTAAATAAAAATTACTACAATTATTTGTAACCAAAATAAATATATGTTTTCTATTTTTCCAATGGTGCTTTAAACATTAAAGGCCTAACACCAACAAAGAACTAATTCAATGCCATGTTAAGTTAATATATTACTTTAATTTCCATTCAATTTGATGTCCTTTGCTTCCGCATTCAATCCATTTACCTCGACTGGCCTTCACAAGTCTGAACCACTCGGCTGTCATTCATGTCCACTTAGTAATCCATCAAGGCAACATTAAAATCGACTCATCTGACTGAGCGTGGGTCGTAAAGGAAATGCATTATAGGAGTATTACCGCAGTAGCGCCGAACAGCCAACCAAGTTATAAAAAGCCAATGAAACGCGACGTTTATTGTTATCGAGATTATCGATTTGGTGGGTGACTTAAAGCTGCAGCTTCCGCTTTCGGCCAGAAGTCAAGTGCCTTAATTGCTGGCCTAATCATCTGCCAGACTTCCGATAACCTATTGCCCCTCGCCGTCGCCATCGCCTTCGCCTTTCGCCCCCGCCCTTCAGGATCCAGAATCCAGGATCCATTAAGGACCCTTCGCACCCCGCCGCACTCCAGTTGATTATGAAGATTCTTTCGTCTTTCGCCGTTGAACTTGTTAGTTGCTCGACACTCCATAATGATGGCAATTATAGCCTCGTTTTTCCAACAATTTATATGAAATTTCGTACTCGCAGAGTCCGCCAGCCCGCTCTTGTTGGCAAGCCCCGCCCCCCCAATGGACATTTTAGGCCATTTGGCCACGCCCCTTGGCATGAGGCTATCTCTGTTTGGCTTCAGGGGTTACAGCCAGATACTCCATCTTGAAAGCGGGTTTTCGGAGAGCGAGTAAGAGAGAGAGGGAGAGAGAGAGAGCGAGCAGTGCTGATTGTTCCGGTGGTGCTTTATACTGGTGTAGTATGGTATAACGGGTATATGATACCACGTTTGGCTGCCAACAGCGCACAGTCGTAAATGAGCGTTCGTGGAGTTCGCCTCGTTGAGAAATTCAATTCGCGTTCGCACGCGTTGCCAAGTTGCACGTTTTCGCAACGCGTTGGAAAGTGTTCTTTGAAAATCAATATTGAAAAAAATATAGAAAATATAGAAAACTAAACTTTGGTGAAGCCCAGTGAAGCATGTCCAGTGCCCAAGTGTCGCAACAGCCGCCGCCTCCGCCGCTTTCAACCAGCAACAACAGCTCGATGCCGTCGCAATTGCTGCTGAGCCACATTCAGCACCACAGCAGCAGTCTGCACCACCCGCGCAGAGCCACGCCACCTGCCCAGGACTACGACCAGGGCAGCAACCACTCAACGCTATCGCCCCGATCTCAGATCAGTCCCAGTCCGCCGGCAGCCAGTCCCACGCATTCGGTGGCCACCACTGGATCCCCTCTGAGCGCCTACGCACCCGGCTTGAGTCCCGTGGCCGGTGGCCTCCAGGATAGCAGCCAAACGGATAGCAGTCAGAGCAGCCAGATGCCCCTGCTAGTGGCTCCGATGCCAGTGGGCGCTGGTCCGCCGCCTCCGCATCCGCGTTTGTATGTCGAGGGTTTCCCGCCACCGCATCACGTGCCGCATCCCCATCCCGCCCTGGGTGGATATCCCCTGCCGCGGTTGCCCCTCATGATGCCGGGTGGGGCACCTGCACCCGCTCCACCAGCAGCACCACATGGAGCCGCTGGCGCACCGCCCGTATCGCCACAACCCGCTGGAAACCACCTGAACCACAGTGGAGCAAATGCTGCGACAACGCTTCTGCCACCCGCCCAAAGTCAACCGAAGAAGTCCTTCTGCATCGACGCCTTGCTGGCCAAGAGCCAGCACCAGTCGGGTGAGCCGCAGCCCATAATCGTGGACGATCGCCTGGCCGCCCTGCATTATGCCCGCGATCAGGCGGAACTCAACCACGCCTTCGTCACCGCCTCCAATGCTGCGGCGGCTGCTCAGGCGGCCGCCTCCGCCGCCGGCGGGATCAGCGATCAGGAGGCTCTGCAGCGCATCCGGGAGTCCAGGGAGTACGACTCACCCAGTCCCGACGGCATGTCAAGGTGAGCCAGAAAAATATTAATCCCTAATTTGGAAAATTTAAAAATTCATAAATAGAGATAGATAAATTACCTAAAATGACTTTAATCCCAATCGTTAAAAAAATTATATTGTAGAAGTTTCCTTGAGAAATTTAATTTTTTAGAGGGAACCATCGCAAGATAACAATCTATTCTATTAATTTCTTATATTAAATGACATTTTTGGTTAGTGTAATTTAAAATCTGCACCAAAAGTGTATAGTTAGTGAAAAACCAAAAAACAAATTCAATGAAGATACTTTTGAAGACTTTTAGAAAGATAAATGATTTGGTTTTGGCTTATTGGCACAACCTTTTAAGATTTATAATTGCTTTCTTATAAATGAAAAAAAAGTTACCAATCAATTACCCAAAGTTACTTCATAACAACACCCATTTAAAACAAATACAAGTAAAGAAATATAGCTCTCAATAGAAAACCCCTTTAACTTCTTGTGGTAATCCTCGGGCTGGCTACCAAACAAAACCAATGGCATAGAGGGCACTCGGCGAAAACCATTCTGAAAGCCAAAGCGAAGCCCCAATGAAGCCCCAAAGCAGCTTTGTTGCCACTCGAAAACATGGCAGGCCAAAAGCCTTCAATTGGTCAATTCCAGTTTGGTCATCAGCTGCGAAGATTACGTATACGCCATGTGTCTGCCGTCATAAGTGTATGAGTGGCTAATTTCAAGTGCGATTCGTGTACGAAAGCAAACAAATTAGACAAGGAGAGGGTGTCGGTAATATTAATTGTTTTCAAAATGTGTCGCGCAATTCCGATTGTCATCGATGGGTTAGATAATTCGCCAAGTAAAGGGTGTCTTATAAAGTCTCCGTTTGCATAATTTTATTTTTAGATCTGAGTCGCCCAGTTCGTCACATCGCTCCAGTCCGCCCATCAGTCCTGGCTGTGAGGATCAGCAGCCCCACGGAGGAATGCATCCCCAGCACTTGTCCATGCGCATGTCCGACTTTCACGATGAGTTCAAGAAGCCCATTCCCCCACACAGTCCCATCAGACCCCAGGATTTCCCGCTCTACGCAGGCGGACATCCCTACCAGCTGCTGGCGCAGGGTGGATCCGCCTTCCACAGACCTCTGGATCCCTCCGGAAAACCCATACCGGTAAGCTAAATAAAATACCATATTTCAAAATGTTAAATTAAGAAAAAGCTATGATTTAAAAAATTTAAAAGAGTTTAATGGTCTGAAACTGCATATCAAGATTTTCTTAAAGGTGTATAATTTAATATAATAGTTCTTGTTTTGGTATCTATTTATTAACGGATTTTAAAGCCATAAATGATTAAACTGCCTCTAGAAATATATTAATTGTAATTGTTAACCCATTGGTAATAAGGCATTTTTTTTAAAGATACTTGTACATGGTACGAATTATTACTAATTTATAAAGAAATAATATAAAAAATCTTTCCTGAATCCAAATTAAATGAAATGTATATTTTTTTTACTTCACAGATCCCCATGGGTCACAATTTCATGCCCTCACAGCTGCAATTCGAGTTCCTGGCCCGCGCAGGAATGTTGCATCACAGGATTCCCGAACTGGCCGCCTATCCGCATCATGCGATTCTGGGCAAGACCAGGAGACCCCGCACCGCCTTCACATCGCAACAACTGCTGGAGCTGGAGAAGCAGTTCAAGCAGAACAAGTATCTGAGTCGGCCGAAGCGCTTTGAGGTGGCCAGCGGACTGATGTTGTCCGAGACGCAGGTGAAGATCTGGTTCCAGAACCGTCGGATGAAGTGGAAGCGGTCCAAGAAGGCGCAGCAGGAGGCAAAGGAGCGGGCCAAGGCCAATCAGCAGCAACAACAGCAGCAAACGCCCAGTGCCGCCAGTTAGGAGGAGTTTTAAGGAGGATCAAGGAGGAGCATCTGGAGGAGTCTCCAATCTAGTCATGCCGCGATCAAACCGCCGTCCCACCATCAAAACGAGACACCCTGTTTTCTTGCCCCCAATTTCATTTGCGCAACCGGTTGAAATCTTTTTGGGTTTTTTCGCCTCAACTTCGGTTTATTATTTGTATTTTGTGCCACAACAACTGGACACTGTGTGATATATGTAAACAAGAAATATAAATTAAATTCATTAGCCCCTCACTCTAGCCCCTATTTGTACATAAACATAAATCTGAATAGGAACACGCAAATAAATAACTAAACAAACATAAATCTTAACTAAATGAATAGTTTGTAAGTAAACAAATTACATTAAATGCGATTAGTTTAGTTGGTAATTTGAAATCTTCTTGTGTAATTTGTGTAAATAATTGTAATTATGTAATTGTAGTATTTAACATTAACAAAACCAACAAAAGCCATTGAGAATAACAAAAGCAGCTAAACAATGTAAAATATCGCATTGCGATTAAATTAGTTAATTGTATGGATTTTATTTTCGAAATCAAAATGGAAAAAATAAATCATGAAAAAAGAACTGAAAAATGGAGCATGGAATGGTGGGGAAACCAAGAAATGAATTTAATTAACAAAAGCCAAAGTCTCATTTGGGTAAAATATAAATTTAATATTTAAAAAAAAATCCTAATCAAAATAACAACTTAAAAGCCTTTGTAAATTTCAATTAGCGAACCTAAAGCAATAAACCGATTAAAGAAGAAGGTGAGTAATGATATTGATTACCAAAAATATATAATCAATATAAAAAATAGCCAAAGGTTAACATGTATAAATACATCTTTAATATATATTGATGCGAATATCTAATCTGGTTGGCTTTGAAAGCTGTCTGTAGTTTCGAATTTATAAATACACGACGGCCATAAAGAAAGAGCTATTAACAACACATAGTTGAACTTCCCAATCAAAATTCGACTTAATTTTCAACGATACGAGGGCCCTTGCGATAGAGCTTATCGTTGCAAATAAATCAAAATGTGCGCAGATAATCAAGTTAATTGCTGAGACAATAATTATGACTAAATTTATAGTATCACTTCAAAATTATTTCGCTAATTAAAATGTAGCCAACTTAAAGCGAACAACAAAAGCACTTCGAGCTCGCTGCGGTTGTTAATTTCGATTTGGTTTTTTTTTCCGTTTATGGCAAAGTGGAAAAATCATGGTGAGCCTTAATTTCCGCCTAAAGACGAGCCATATAAAGTATTATCAAGCGATACAGAAAACAGGTTGTAGCATTCCAAGTTTCTGATAACCGTTTGAACTGATTTCAACTTGGATCAGCTGTGGGAATCTTCCTTAGCTTATCGGCGATAAATAAATATCTACTGGTTTTGAGATTACAAATTGCATGTTTTTCTGTTCTTGGATATTTGAAACGTTGCTAATGCTATATATGATAATTCATATATTTTTTTGGAAATGGTTCGTAGTTACATAATGATGATAATTATCTTCCAGGCAATAGGGATTACCCAATAAAACTATTACTGTTTACTATATAATTTTTGTTATAACTATTCCCCTTTTCGAGATGACATAAAGTGTTCTTACCACTTTCCATTCCATTTCCCCCTACCAAACCCATTTCCATTCTTCTAATGAGAACTCGTCCGTCCACTTCATCACGTAATTCTCAAGTATTTCATAGACGTGCACACGTTCGGACTTTACGGGTTTTATCGTTGCTCTTGGCTTGCCTCGAAGTATGCTTTATATTGTTATTATTGGTTGTTTGATCTGTTGCTGTTGTTGCCGTTATTGTTGTTATTATGCAGCAGTTTCTTGTTGTCTGATGGGCTAATAAAAATTCATTTCGCTCTCTTGCTTGCCCCTAACACGTAGCGCATTTTTGTCTAAAAAAATGATTGGAGAACACAATTGTACAAAAGTGGATATGTGTAACAGTGGTTTTGATAAGTAAGAAAGTTTTTAAAAAGGTAAAAATATTTTTAAGTGTGAAGTAAAATTTTTAAATGAAGAAAGCTAGGAATATCTTTTTAAATTGGTACATCGGAGGCCATAAACAGTTTATAATTGATTTCTACCGGCTTTCCATGTTTGGTTTAACCCATTACTTCATCCACTGAACTCTGGAAACCTTTCTACCTTGAACTTAACCCACTGTGCACCCTGTGCTGCGGTTGCTGAGGCTGCGCTTTATTTTGATTCGCCTTGAAGTGGCCAAATGTGTTGAACCAGAACACAATACAAATGGAGAGGGAAAGGGAATTGGAAAGGGGGAAGGGAAAGATTTCTCCCTAATTTCAATTCATTGAGCTATTAGCGGGTAATTTGCAGCAGGACGATTTCAATGAAAACCCGGCGAGACCATAAAAGGGTGACAAAGATCAAACCGTGGAACTGGAATTGTCTTCGGGACGCATGGCCCTGGATGCTGTTTGGTCCTTCGGGATGCCTGCTGCTGATTGTCGCATCTGTTGCAAATTAAATTTGAGTTATAATTTCTATAAACACACAAGCGTTGAGTTGAGGAAGGCACACACCCAGAAAATTGCCGATTGAATTGAGGGTTCACTTCCCAGTCCGCCGGAACGTTTTCCCCTTCTCCGCCTGACTTTGTTGCCTTTGTTGCTGGTGTTACAATTTGGTTATCCCCTGTTGGGCAACGTCATCCACTGCACTGAGAGAAAACAGCGAAGAATATATAACCATATTTGACAAGGTGATGACCAAAGTTCGGTTGCTTGGTTTTAAAATAATAAAATTCTGAAATATTTATGCCATTAAAATTTGTACCAAAACAAGTTTTTGTCATCATATTTTTCCTCAGTGCCGGACAACCCTCTTGGGTTGAATAGCGTTTATTGTTGCAGTCCCAGTTCCCAATTTGATCTTCATGTCAACACAGATGATCACATTTTATGCTTAATTTTGTTATATGTGATGTTTGCTTTACTGATTTAGCACACACCACTGCCCCTCCCCCGAAATTTCTGTATTCCTCGCACTTTTGCGCTAATATTCAATCGAATTTTCCTCGATTTTCGATTTTATTGTCAAATATGTGCGATTTTTGTCATATGTTGGATTTTATTATTGTCAAATTTGCATTTGTCTGGGGATCACGCGCGATGGTTGGGGGTGCGTAAGCGGTTATTGCTCGTTAGCCAGCTAGCTAATGGCTGTTTACTCAGTCAGCTCGGCGGGGAAACAGAGGAAGGATACTAGGGTCAGGATGCTGTGGTGTCCTTTTGATTGGCTTCGATTGATATCACAATTGATGGGCGGCATTCCATTTTTAATTGCTGCCACGCTGGGCAAATCCTTTCTAATTGATGGGGGAAATGCATATGCGCACAATGAGCGACTATAACTGATGGTTGGCAAAGCAAATATGGTGATTAGCCAGAGATATAGTTATGAACAGTCATTAAAAGAGTACATCGCTAAGTACTATTTATCCTAAAAAAATCTATTTTGATTTTATTTCATTCTATATTTTCTTCAGGGGAGGTATTATAGAAAATATATATTTAACAACTAATTTATTGTTTAATCAAGACAGTAAGGTTGTATATCTTTTTATTATGTTATGCAGTTCTTTATTCTCTTGGCATAGTTTTGGTTCTTTTTTTGTAACATGAAATTACATTTTAAATATTTAATCTAAAAATGGCATTTATTGAGATCCTCTTGAACCGTAGACAGCATTGAAAATCTCTCCCTCTCAACCTGCAAAGTACTTTCTCCCCTCATCGCTTCGTTAGATTTGCTAATTAACCCAACATAAGGTTTTCTAATTTCATTTAACGCAGAGCAATAAGAGCAACAGGGAGATATATACTATAGAAATGGGGGAAGCGGTGCCCGCAGTTGGTCCAAAAAGCGGCCGAGCAACCCTCTCTTGGCCACCCCTTAACCCATGGCTGCCCCCCGCCCCTCCAGCAAGTTGGGTCTGGCTTCAGTCGTTTGGTATCATTAGCCTCTGGGGATGATTTGTTGTTGTTTGGCAGCACTTGATCAACGCAGCAATGAATTCAATTAGCACCAAAACACCAAAAGAGCGTTGCAGGGGGTTCAAGGAGGGAGGTGGGTGGGGGGTGCTGCTATTTAGCCAGGGGGCGGGGGGAGTGGCACTTGCTGCAGGCCGAGGAGGAAATCCAGAGTCAGCGAAGGACACACCCTCGCCATTAGAGAAAAAGAGAGAGGGAGAGGGGGGAGGAAAAGCGACGGAGTCTGGTCAATTGTTTGGATTATTTTTCTGGTGAATTATTGCGTGTTGACGCATATGGTGACAAATTTCCTTTACAAATCGCTCCGTCTCGCTCTCGATTTTCCTGATCCCCCCTCCCTTTTTCTCGTCCTAATGCCCCGAGCAATTAGCTTTGATAAAGGAATTGTTCTGGCTGTCACGAAAAATTTCCTAACGATTAAATCGGAATCATTTTGGCACTGCCAGACATTGACTTTTGGCAGGACTGTTCCGGGATTTAATTTCGCCAAGGGTTTTAGAAGAGTTCTTCGGTTAAAATTGTTTTATTATTACAATTTACAATAAAATGGTTATTAAAAATAATTTTTTTACTCAAAAAATGTTTAAAAAACTTTCTAAAATGTCTATTAAAACCCGAAAAAATATTTTGTCCTTTTATTCCCCTTACCAAATGCCTCCTTTTCGCTGTCCTTTTTTCTTGTTTATTCAGTGGACGCACGCACGGATTTTCTTTGCTTCGTTTATGGATTGATGGCAGCCAAGTTGGAAATTCCTGATTGCTCTTGGACATTTTGTGTTTGCTCCGCGACTGTCTCCTCCCCTTCGATTTTCCCTCGTCAGCACCAGAACCCCTCCTTCGTCGGTCGTCTCTCTATCTGTTTGGTTTGTTGGAATATAGCCAGATGGATTGTGTAAACATGCTGGAAATTATGGTATTAGTCGCGTATCACGAGTTCGGAGTTCCATTCTCAATTGGGTTATGAATTGATTAATGAATTGATAAATTTGCCGTCGAAGTTTGACGATTTTGTGGGGGTTACTAAGGGGAAGATATTATCATAAGGTAAATCGAAGGGTGGTTCTTAACACTTTAGGTATTCGTAAGTAGTTAGAAGAAACAATTAATGGTTGAATGTGAGATAATTGTTTTAAATATAGATTTTCGATGGAAAAATATTCTCCTATCTTCTCTTCTAAACTTCTTTATTTAAGTATGTATTTCAAAGTTTAAATTTAGACCTTTTCAGCACCTTAAACTTCCTCAACTGGAACCCCATCCCATCCATCCATCAACATTTGTAACAAATTGTTTATAATTTGTAGAACTTCCTCCTTTCTTCCTGTTTTCGTTTTCCTTGTTCCTTCTCCTTTTTGTGTGTGCCACATTAATTGCTACAATTAAAATGTACAAAAAGAGTCATCAACTTTGTTGTTGTTGCTGGCGTTGTCAGCGCTAATTAACCCATGTGTGCCCGAGTCTAAGCCAATCCTCTCACCTATCGACACAAATGTTCTACCCCAGGCACAAAACTGCCAAACAAACAAATGTAGATAAACAAT